ATTTTCCACAAACATGGGTATTGTCTACATCATTTATCGCCTTCCAATAACCTTTTATTTTTTGTTTTAATACTCGTTATCACCGATATCCAGTCTTTTCTTTCCCAGTTTCAATCTCGAGAAAAATTTGAATGGAACACGAATAATTACCAACATAGTGCAACCTGAACGCAAAGAAAAAGACCACAGCTTTGATATTTTTTTTAAATGTACACTTAAATTCAGATTATCTTCTTCATAAACTTCAAGATGAATGAGATCCTCTTCCTTACCTCCTTTCACTTCAAGCGCTCAATCTATGCTGTAATACGCAGAATCCGAAAAACATACAGAAAGTGGGTAAATAAACAAAAAAGGTGACGTCACCCACTCCAATCCTCAGTAAACAATAGTGATGACGTCATACACTCCTTTTATGATAAGCTAACGAAAGCATGAAGAGAAAGTTGTTGTAGTAGAGTAAGTGATGGTTGTTGTAGTGGAGGTGGTAGTGGTTGTTTTAGTAGAGGTGGTTGTGGTTGTTGTAGTGCATGTGGTGTTGGTTGTTGTAGTGGAGGTGGTGGTGGGTGTTGTAATGAATGTGGTGGTGGTTGTTGTAGTAGAGGTGGTGATGGTTGTTGTAGTAGAGTAAGTTATGGATGTTGAGGTAGATGTGATGACAGTTGTAGTAGAGGTGGTGATATTTGTTGTAATGAATGTGGTGGTGGTTGTTGTAGTAAAGGAATTGATGGTTGTTGTAGTAGAGAACGTGATGGTTGTTGTTGTAGAGAACGTGATGGTTGTTGTAGTAGAGGTGGTGATATTTGTTGTAATTAACGTGGTGGTGGTTGTTGTAGTAGAGGAATTGATGATTGTTGTAGTAGAGAACGTGATGGTTGTTGTAGTAGAGAATGTGATGGTTGTTGTTGTAGAGAACGTGATTGTTGTTGTTGTAGAGAACTTGATGGTTGTTGTTGTAGAGAACGTGATGGTTGTCGTAGAGAACGTGATGGTTGTTGTTGAGGGGAACGTGAAGGTTGTTGTAGAGAACATGATGGTTGCTGTAATGAAGGTAGTGATGGTGGTTGTAGCAGAGGAAGTGATGGATGTTGAGATAGATGTGATGACGGTTGTAGTAGAGGTGGTGATATTTGTTGTAATGCATATGATGACGGTTGTAGTAGTAGAGGAAGTGATAGATCTTGTAGTAGAGGTGGTGATGGTTGTTGTAGAGAACGTGATGGTTGTTGTAGTAGAGAACGTGTTGGTTGTTGGAATGAAGGTGGTGGTGGATGTTGTAGTAGAGGAAGTGAAGGATATTGAGGTAGATGTGATGACGGTTGTAGTAGAGGTGGTGATGGTTGTTGTAGTAGAGGAAGTGATGGATGTTGTAATGAAGGTGCTGGTGGTTGTTGTAGTAGAGGATATTGAGGTAGATGTGATGACGGTTGTAGTAGAGGTGGTGATGGTTGTTGTAATGAAGGTAGTGATGGTTGTTGTAGTAGATGAAGTGGGAGTTGTAGTAACAGGCGAAATTAGAAGAGGTGATGACGATTATGGCAGATATTATTGTACTGTGCTAGAGGTGGTGATGTCTATACTAGAGGTGGTGATGTCTGTACTAGAGGTGGTGATGTCTGTACTAGAGGTGATGATGGCTGTACTAAAAGTGATGTCTGTACTAGAGGTGATGATGGCTGTGCTAGAGGTGGTGATGTCTGTACTAGAGGTGGTGTCTGTACTAGAGGTGATAATGGCTGTACTAGAGGTGATGATGGCTGTACTAGAGGTGATGTCTGTACTAGAGGTGATGATGGCTGTACTAGAGGTGGTGATGTCTGTACTAGAGGTGATGATGGCTGTACTAGAGGTGGTGATGTCTGTACTAGAGGTGATGAGGTGGTGATGTCTGTACTAGAGGTGATGATGTCTGTACTAGAGGTGATGATGGCTGTACTAGAGGTGATGATGGCTGTACTAGAGGTGATGTCTGTACTAGAGGTGATAATGGCTGTACTAGAGGTGATGTCTGTACTAGAGGTGATGATGGCTGTACTAGAGGTGGTGATGACTGTACTAGAGGTGGTGATGACTGTACTAGAGGTGGTCTGTACTAGAGGTGATGATGGCTGTACTAGAGGTGGTGTCTGTACTAGAGGTGATGATGGCTGTACTAGAGGTGGTGATGTCTGTACTAGAGGTGATGATGGCTGTGCTAGAGGTGGTGATGTCTGTACTAGAGGTGATGATGTCTGTACTAGAGGTGATAATGGCTGTACTAGAGGTGATGATGGCTGTACTAGAGGTGGTGTCTGTACTAGAGGTGATGATGGCTGTACTAGAGGTGGTGATGTCTGTACTAGAGGTGATGATGTCTGTACTAGAGGTGATGATGGCTGTACTAGAGGTGGTGATGGCTGTACTAGAGGTGATGATGGCTGTATATGAGGTGATGATGTCTGTGTTAGAGGTGGTGATGTCTGTACTAGAGGTGGTGATGTCTGTACTAGAGGTGATGATGTCTGTACTAGAGGTGTTGATGGTTGTACTAGAGGTGATGATGGCTGTACTGTTGATGGTTGTACTAGAGGTGATGATGGCTGTACTAGAGGTGATGTCTGTACTAGAGGTGATAATGGCTGTACTAGAGGTGATGTCTGTACTAGAGGTGATGATGGCTGTACTAGGTGATGTCTCTATAGTGGTGATGTCTGTACTAGAGGTGGTGATGTCTGTACTAGAGGTGATGATGGCTGTACTAGAGGTGATGATGGCTGTACTAGAGGTGGTGATGGCAGTACTAGAGTTTTTGATGTCTCTACTAGAGGTGATGATGGCTGTTCTAGAGGTGGTGATGGCTATACTAGAGATGATAATGGCTGTACTAGAGGTGATGTCTGTACTAGAGATGATAATGGCTGTACTAGAGTTTTTGATGTCTCTACTAGAGGTGATGATGGCTGTTCTAGAGGTGGTGATGGCTATACTAGAGATGATAATGGCTGTACTAGAGGTGATGTCTGTACTAGAGGTGATGATGGCTGTACTAGAGGTGTTGATGGTTGTACTAGAGGTGATGATGGCTGTACTAGAGGTGGTGATGTCTGTACTAGAGGTGATGATGGCTGTACTAGAGGTGATGTCTGTACTAGAGGTGGTGATGGCAGTACTAGAGTTTTTGATGTCTCTACTAGAGGTGATGATGGCTGTTCTAGAGGTGGTGATGGCTATACTAGAGATGATAATGGCTGTACTAGAGGTGATGTCTGTACTAGAGATGATAATGGCTGTACTAGAGTTTTTGATGTCTCTACTAGAGGTGATGATGGCTGTTCTAGAGGTGATGATGGCTGTTCTAGAGGTGATGATGGCTGTACTAGAGGTGGTGATGGCTATACTAGAGATGATAATGGCTGTACTAGAGGTGATGATGGCTGTACTAGAGTTTTTGATGTCTCTACTAGAGGTGATGATGGCTGTTCTAGAGGTGGTGATGGCTATACTAGAGGTGATGATGGCTGTACTAGAGGTGGTGATGGCTGTACTAGAGGTGATGATGGCTGTACTAGAGGTGGTGTCTGTACTAGAGGTGATGATGGCTGTACTAGAGGTGATGTCTGTACTAGAGGTGATGATGGCTGTACTAGAGGTGATGTCTGTACTAGAGGTGATGATGGCTGTACTAGAGGTGTTGATGGTTGTACTAGAGGTGATGATGGCTGTACTAGAGGTGGTGATGGCTGTACTAGAGGTGATGATGGCTGTACTAGAGTTTTTGATGTCTCTACTAGAGGTGATGATGGCTGTTCTAGAGGTGGTGATGGTTGTACTAGAGGTGGTGATGACTGTACTAGAGGTGGTGATGGTTGTACTAGAGGTGATGATAGCTGTACTAGAGGTGGTGATGGCTGTACTAGAGGTGATGATGGCTGTACTAGAGTTTTTGATGTCTCTACTAGAGGTGATGATGGCTGTTCTAGAGGTGGTGATGGTTGTACTAGAGGTGGTGATGACTGTACTAGAGGTGGTGATGGTTGTACTAGAGGTGATGATAGCTGTTCTAGAGGTGGTGATGGCTATACTAGAGATGATAATGGCTGTACTAGAGGTGATGTCTGTACTAGAGGTGATGATGGCTGTACTAGAGGTGGTGATGGTTGTACTAGAGGTGGTGATGACTGTACTAGAGGTGGTGATGGTTGTACTAGAGGTGATGATGGCTGTACTAGAGACGGTATTGGTTATAAAAGGATTGCAGTATAATGATTTTACTGGAGGTTATGGTGAAATGGAGTTCGTGTTGTTGTTGAGTGTTAATGATCGTTTATGTTGTAACGATGATGATGATGGTAAAGGTGAGAATTAGGCTGGTGCGGTGGCGCAGCGGTAACATACTCGCCTTTCACCTAGCCGTCCGAGGTTCGATTCCTGAAACGTACGCGAAAAGGTAAGGTTCACCTGCCCGCAAAGTAGGTTTTCTACGAGTACTCCGGTCTCCTCCCGCGCGCTTATATACGGACCAAGAATGATTAGTAAATGTTGCTATAACTTGTTTCGCAATTGTTGTAAAATAGTTAAAAATTGTGTATGTTAGAGGTGAGGGTGGTTGTCTTTAGAGGTGAGGGTGGTTGTCTTTAGAGGTGAGGGTGGTTGTCTTTAGAGGTGATGGTGGTTGTCTTTAGAGGTGAGGGTGGTTGTCTTTAGAGGTGATGGTAGTTGTAGTTATGGTGGTGACAGTTGTGTTGGAAGTTGTGGTACTAGAAGTGAAAGTTGTTGTTGAGACGATGCTTTTAGTAGTGTTGGTGATGATTGTAATGGAAGTCTTTTAATTGTAGTTAAGGCGTTGATGGTAAATGTGATGGTCGGTATAGTCAGGTGACGAATGGTATATTTGTTATACATGATGAACACACGCATTTCGTTCCGACTGCATTCTCCTAAATATCAGTAATATGTCTACTATTGTTCTCTTATATTCAGAATCGCTTTCTATATTTGCAGCGTCCCTGACAACAACCGATATGGCTGACCAGGATGAGCAGTACAACAAGTCGTGGATTCTCCATCAAGTCCTGGAGAGATATGTAGGAAGCCGGGAGTTAATATCTGTCAGAAGAAAGCTTACAACTACAGCAGAAGACCTGCATAACATTGATATAACGCCTTGGCTTAATATAGGTAGTTCGGGAGAGGGATTTCGGATGTTTGGCTCGGACAGGGATATGATGGTGGTAGATAAAAAGGTACTAGTGCTACGTCACCATAAGGATTTCAATCTGATAAGAAATATCACCAACCAAACAATTTTAGTGATGCGAGACGCTAACAGCAGACCTGGTTATACACATTTAGAACTTGTTCAGCTAGGACGGGAATATGAAAAAGAGTTGTTTGAATCAGTTGTTCCAGTCGGTAATAAATCTTTCTTATCAAGTCAACTTTTTACGGGTTCTTATAATGAAGGAATGAGTGATGTCTATAGGACTCGAACAGAAACCCATGGCCCAGCAACTACGATGCGGGGAAAGGACTGTAACGCGGATACGGATTTTGATATTGTAATTTCCTTCCCATGTTATGACTGGCCACAAGATGCAGATGAATGGCTTACCAGGCCCCGTCTTAAAAACTGGCCTGATAAGGCTTTGAGAGATCAGATAGTACAAGATGGGTGCCATCTTGTCCCCGTGGGCGATAAAACATCGGATGACACATTCCTACAATGGAGGATTTCATTTTCGTCTGCCGAAAGAAAACTGATTCATTCTCTAAGTCATGTCCAATTTTTGGTGTATGGCCTGTTCAAGAATTTCCTCAAACAGATATCTGATTGGTTGCAACATTTGTTTGGAGATATAGATATCCTGTCATCCTATATTATAAAAACGGTTGTACTGCACGCCGTGGAAAACACCTCTGATTCCTTTTGGCAGGAGAAATATACATTTTTCTGTTTCATGTTTTGTTTAAGCACGTTGATTTCATGGGTCAAGGCAGGGTATTGCCCTAACTACTTCATAAACAAAAACAATATGTTTCTCGGTAAAGTCTGTGGTGAAAATCAACAAAAACTCCTTAATTTTCTCGTGGTACTTTATGATCTAAAATGGGGATGTCTTTCAGTAGGGGAATATATGCAGCCATCTATTGGGGAACTTGTGCAGGGTGTTCACGATGAAACAACAGCAATGAAGATTCATCCACCAGCAGTTTTAGAAAGAAAATGTGACATGGAAATTTTTGTTAAAACGTTAGGATATGAGTGCCGTCCAGAGGTTCTTTCAATATCACTGGCGCGTTTGTCTAAATCAACGGAGGAGATTGATGAATACATGGCGTACGCTAATACAGCACGTGCGTTGAGTTATTCGGGAATGACGAAATTCGAAGAACACCTTCCAGTGAAGGGCAATAAAGACAAGTACAAATTTCTCAAGACATGTAAGAATCTTCTGTTACCATGTAGCTTGGTGTGTACAAGTCCCGGCTTGCTGACGCTCGCCACATACCACTATACGACTGGGAATTACAAGAAAACATTGGAAATGTGTGCACACATGATTTCGTCATTCAAAATGTATGTGGATTTTGGGTCTTGTTTTGAGAAACAAGACAAGTATGAGTACCTCTTTTGTGGGCGCGGGTATACTTTGCTACAAAAGTGCAAAGAAGTCTTCGTGACATGTATCACATTCCTACAAGACCATGGACAGTTCTGTCCGTCACAAATCCGTCTGGACGTCGGAAAATACTGCCCTAACGGAAGTATGATGAGGATACCTCCACTCCCCTACGCTGTCTTCTTGTCGTTTCTGTGTTATCATGAACTTGGCGACACCAGGACGCGTAATACAGCACTGATTGAACTTCAGACTGTGAAATATGACCAAGAACAGGGTGGCAGTACACACTATGTAGTCCATAACCTATTGGGAATCTGCTTTGAAATGGTTGGAGACAAACGTAGGGCTCTCGAGGAGTACAGAAGTTCTGTTAATGTTCGGCACATAAGTCAGTATCAGAACTCAGCCAGGGAAAGGATGGAACGTCTACAGACACTCTAAACTTAACATTGCGACACGTCTAATTCGTTTGGCGTCTGGTTTCTCAATTTTATGGGTAGGTTATGGAAGTGAAATGGTTTCCTCCGAACATTATCACTACAGCTCGGGTTGGTCTATTTGTCATCCAACTGAGTTGATGGGAAGTCGGCAGGAAGGACATCCTCGATACGATCACCTCTCTGTGCAGAGAACGAAAATGCTCGTAATCCCTGGAGTATCGGGGAAGAAGGAAGGAAGGAATGTCACTGAATGCAGACAACACAGACGTTCGAGCTAGAAATCTATGGCTATTGTTCTGTAAGTGCGTGAATCTTTCGTGGAGACAAGAGATGTTCCAGGTACTGCGGCAATAGGAAATACAGAAACCATTTTGCTGTCTAATGCTATTGAATTAATATGGTGTTTCTTTACAATTTGAAAACACCAATCCGGGATAACAGAAACGGGAAACTCCAATTTCGTGCACAAGAATGACTATAAGTATCGGCGGACATTGATTTTTGACATCACAAAGGTCAGAGTCATTGCAGCGGTAGTAAAGTGGACGATGATGGTTATTAAGAAGTCGAGAAGTAAAAATGTTATTGGTTTATTTTGTAATTAATTGATAAGTTATAAAGGAATTTCAGCACAATTCATGGAAATTAAGAATCAATGAGGCCACTGATTCTTTCGTTCTGATTACTTTCTAGCAAATAGTCTATATTTCCAATTTGTTAGATAAAGGTTTCCCAACGAACGACTGTTATTGATAATCAAGTTTATCTAACTCAAGATATTTAATTTAAATAAGGAGAGTAAGATAAACAAGGTAAACAGCAGTCACGTGTTAGAGAACTTGCATATCGCATAACTTTTAAATACCAAAATACCATGCGACAAAATATAACTCATGATAATAGTTATTACTTACTTCAAGTGACTTATTGATTGTTGTTTATTGTGAAACATTTGTACATAAGTTTAAGAAATTGTGTGTTAGTATTCAAATGCACAGTGTTTGTCAATAGAATACTCATTTAAATCATCCGCGCAATGAACGCCATGACACGCTGCCCATAGAAAACTTGACTTTCTTATATCCCAGATTCAGAAGCTGGATATTATAAAACATCAAGTAAAGAATCATTGATACAACATTATCCACAACTATTAGAAGAGTGAATACTTTGTGAGAAGGAAATGACTTAGTTTGAACAATCATTCACATTTGTGTGCTGAAGTTTTCAAGGCGATTACAAGCATACCAGGAGGATATAGACGCAGTCAATGACAAGATGAGGGGAATGCTAGAGGAACGGAACAGATTATTTGACTCAGTTACCGATCTATGAAGGACAACTTGGTCTTTACAGGTCTTGATGGCGAATTGAGAGATGAATTAAAGGAGGATAAACTACATAACTTCATATCCTACGAGCTGAAGATTGAGGACAGGATTGAATTCGACAATGACCGTAGATTTGGAAAACACGCTCGGGGTAAACATAGACCAATTGCAGCTAGATTTATCTACTATCAGGACCTCCAAAGAGTGACGGATAGATCATTTAAACTGCAAAGTACACCTTACGGTCTCCACGAACAGTTTCCCACCATTATTGAAGATCGTCGTTCTAAACTTTATCCCGTGATAATGAATGTTGCTTATCTGAGGAAGATGAATTTGATTTAGATGATTATTGTAAATATATTTCCCCAAGCAATAACCCATATTAGTGAAGGTATTGTAATCTTCTATAAAGATTTCATGATTAATTATAGATCAAATGGTAATGTGTACATATCTGGAGATTTCAATGCCAGAACCGGTACCAAACTTGAAATGATAGTTAATGCTGGTTTGGGTAATTGTGATAGTGTATCAATTGATGCTGTTGACTATCAACATGATGTAAATAATTTAACAGAGCGGAAAAACATGGATAAATCTGTAAACACTTTTGGTAGAAAGTTATTGTCTCTGTGTAAATCTACTGGTGGATAATGAATGGACGTCATTTCAGTCACTCGGATGGAGGTGTTACCTTTTACAGTTCTAGTGGTACCAATCTAATTGATAATCGTCTAATACAGACAGATAATTTTCAATCCGTAAATTAATTTTAATCTTTTAATTTTGTAACTGTGTCTGATTATTCACCATTATATTTTAATCCGAGATTAGATATAAAGCCCAATGAAGTATCGCATGGAAACCAAACTCATGCTAAATGTGTTTGCGAAAATGTTAAATGGAATAATGATGATGTTAAGTCCATAAAACGGCAACTAAGTCAAAATACCAATGTAATAAGTGAGATCCTCAATATGGTTGTAGAACTATGTCTTATTTTTTTCCTTTCTACTTTAGAACGTATCGTGTGTATTTTGAAGAACTTGACTCACATATTACAGAAAAAGGAGTTATTTCTGCCATAGGTTTAATAGAAATAAAAGTTGTGGCGTTGACAAAATTCTTAACGAACTTTTTATATATTGCAAGGATATATTTATGGCATATTTAATCATTCTTGTTAATTCTGGCTTTTCAATCGAGAATCTTTTCTGAAGCTTGGTCAACTGGGAATATCATCCTGGTATATAAGAAAGATGATAGAGACAATACAAATGATTACTGAAAAATAACGCTTGTCTGTTGTATGGGGAAGTTATTCCCCTCCATATTGAATAAGCATCTGGTGAATTAGGATTTAAAATGTAATATAATAGCAGAAGCCCAGTTTGATTTTAAATCTGAATCTGTTAGATCTTATTTCTGGTGAAAAAATCCTATGTATACTTCGATCCTTATATACAATGGTTTTCATTCTGATTTTCCCCCAAAACAATCTGCACTTTTCAGGTTAAAATTCTGTCGTACATTTTATACTCCGTGTGCGTGAATGCCCGCGAATTTCATTTTATCAAAGAATGTTGTTTATTTATCGAAATAAATTTGTTTTCCTTTTAATGTACGCTGACGATATAGTGCTATTTGCCGAAAAGCCAGTAAATTTACAATAAGTTCTGGAAGATCTCAAATCATATGACGATAAGTACAAACTCTATCTGAACACAAATAAGAGAAATATGGTAGCTTTTAAAAACGGTGATGGAATAAGTTTAATGACCAGTTGACCAGGTTAATTATCTAAGCATGTTCTTTAATTAGAAAGATAAATTTGCTGTTACTCAAAAGCTTGTTGGAGATTACATAACAAAGCATATCATGCAATGTTCTGTAATCAACACTTGTGTCATTATCGTCTTAAGTTACAGTGCAGAAGTGTGGGGCTTTTATAAAGCCCTTGATGCTGAAAAGATTCACATTGAACTAAAAGCTTCCTGGATTTAAGAAAAGCACTTGTGATATTTAGTTTATTGTAAAGTTGGAAGAGTTACCGTTGTCTGTATGTAAAAAACTGAAGAAATCAAATATTGGTTAAAGTTTAAATGTTCGAATAATTATATTTTAAAATCATGTTTCGAGAAAAGAATTTTGTTGAAAGAAAGCTGGAATTTAGATATTCGTACTAAACTTATTAAATTGGGTTTAACTTATCTTTGGGACGGTGAGAAATGTTGATAAAATACATGTACGATAATTGAGCAAAGTTTTTTTTTTTTAATTTTTCTGACAGGAATTATTGACAAATTTTCACACTATTCCGAAAGGCTTCTTTTACCGATATCTGACCGATAGTTTTTCTGTGCAATTATATTGACGAAAAAGCAGTTAATAATTTATATAAGAAGTCTAAACTTAGCTCACATAACTTGAATATAGAGCAAGAAAGATATAGAAACATTAAAAGGGACCAAAGAATTTGTAACGTATTTAACTTAGATAACATTGAAGATGAATTTGATTTTATTTTTAAGTGTAACTTTTATCGTGACCTAAGATGCCAGTTTATTAAATCATATTGTTATAATACACCAAGTGTTTTCAAAGTGATTCAACTTTTTAATGCTCAAAATGTTAATGGAATGAATTACTTTTAGTTTAAAACGTCGTAAAGGAATGTTTAATACACATTCAGTATACCATACCTAATTAGATGAAACATGTGTTCTTTTATGTCTGTCGTACTGCATTATTAATGTGTAGTGATTATAAATTACTGTATGAATTCACTTACCGTATGCCTTTGTACATTGTGTTATATTCACCGTAAATTGTACATAATTTATATGACGACTGTAAATTTGAAAAAAACATTGTATGCAAGACAACTCTCCCATATGTTTTACACAAGGAAAAAATAAAACTGAAACTACTGCTGAGGTCAAAGCTTGAACAGCTGAATATCAAACGAATCACTGCCATATTATGTTATCGTTTCCTGGACGTTGTGGGTTTGTAGTTATTGTTGATTTGATACCAAAAGTTCTCTTGAATTGTTTGTCAAGACACCGCGAGACTTTCGAGAGTTTGAGTAATGGGTTAACGTTAATGCTATGACAATGCGTTGTTGACACATTTAGTGATGTCCACAGGGCTGCTACATATGCCAGAGGGAAACACATAGAAATGGTTGCGTGGTTGTCAAAATACATTGATATTGTGAATATTTTGGTGTCCAAAAACATACTGTATAAAAATTACAAATTTGCCATGAACGTGAGTGTATCCAACGTGCTGTGTATGGTGTGCTGTTTATATGCGATCATTTTATTAGATTATTGACTCGAGAAAAGTTTTACAAAATGAAATTTTATAATTTTGTGTTCGGCATATAAATTTGAAATAAAGGTAAGCTAAAGGATTAGAAAGCGTGCATTTTTATGTTCTGTTGGCGACAACATATTTGCTAATTATCAGGCCAAGTAAGAATACCAGCGTATAGGTTGCGTAAACGTATGTTTAGAATACTTTGTATATATGTAGATCATGCATCTATTCATTCTCGAAACAAGCGAAACAATTGATACACAGTCCACATGCCTGAACTCTCGACTTGTCAATGTTCCCATGCTTTGTATACTTTCTCCTTGTCACTCTGTGCGTTCTGTAA